TGATTCCGGCTTGAACGCTATGGGAATCTTCATGTTTAGAATAGTCCCAATCATAAACTACTATCGACAGACTATACCACTAATAACAGAAAACTCACTACGTGATAAGACGCATTTTTTAGCTGCTAAAGACAGCTTAAAGCTAAATCTTCCTAGCGACCTTTTTTTATATTTGTGATTCCGCACTATCTACAAATGATCGTAGAATGATAGAGAAGGCAGAGCAAATTATAATCATCTGAGTACCTTTCTTAGTTAGCAAAGCTTGCTACAGGTGGTGTTGAACATCGTGCGATGTTGTTAAACTTTCAAAAAGTTCGCTTCATACGTCAACCTTATTCAACCAGATAAGGATTCTTTTTTTAAATATTTGAACCATGTTAGTAAGTAGTATTCGAAGCTTTATCTGACCTAGCAATGATCACTTAATTATCGATAGAAATGTTCAAAAGTCCCATACTTCTCAAAATGGTAGACAATTGAACTATTTAGACTTGAAAAAATGAATGCATGAACTTCATTTGGCACTATACTTTGAGTGTAGTTGTTAAAGAAAGATGAATAAAAACTGATTTCAGATGATCAGATCTTTCCGCAATGTTGCAAAAGTGTAAGAAAATTGGAGAGATCGATCGATTATAATTGCATAAACACACCCATTCATTTATTGATACGTAAATAATAACTCTGTACATGTGCTGTTTCTCATCCTTCTGTTTGCGTCTATTTCCAGTTTAAAGGAAGGGGCATATAATTTTTGCGCTTATGTTTCTTTTCTTCAAAAAATCGGGCTGTACACTTCTTTCTTGTCATTTCAATCGATAACAGCCATATCAAGATGATTTTTAGAAAGAAAGTTTCATGAAATTCTGACAGGTGTTTTTGAAGAATGAGGCAATTTCGCATTATCTGTGATCTTTCTGTGTATATTTTTGATGTTAGCGTAAACAGAGACCAAAAGCGAATGGAATATTGGATAATTCGCTCTCTCTGGGAGGTATCTAATCGAATTGCGATTCTTTTATTCGTTTCAATATATGGCTGAAAAATGCCAGCATGAATAAGACTCACATAGTCGTGGTGACTAAACACGGATGCTCCTAGTCCTTGCTTCTGATTGCACTACACGTTGAAAACTTACAATCTTCTTATCATGGTCACACTGCAAGTAGAAAATGTTCTGGATGTAGGTGTCGATGCCGCTGGTCTTTTCAACAACAATCAAAGGCCACATTCACACCCACACCCTATATTGAATTCAAGGTCTAGCATAGTGAGCACCTGTTTGTAACGAAGATGAATATGAGATAGATGCCTAGAATATGAGGGCCATCTGGTTGTTGAACGAAACAGTGTAGATGAAACAGCTATAATTGAATATCGGTAGTATGATTATTAGGTTGAGAGAATTCAAAAGATTTTTTTTCACGCGATTTTGCTAGGAAACCAAGAATTTTCCTACAAAATTTTCAAAAGATAAGCTGTTCGAGGTCTTGGTCCAAACTTCTTATTCCGCCGTCGCTATCTATGTTGCGATTTATCAACAGTCTTCCGTTTATATGTTAGAAGTCATGTAGTTTATGTCTTTGTCGTCGTTGTTGCTTGGGTTCTGAAATATCAGCTCTTTTTAAAAGTGATAAAGCAAAAAAAGAGAAAGCCCACTACAAGCCTTGTAATCATGACTTCGATATCACTAATCTCAAGTATTGTTTGACTTTTACTTTAGTCATTTTGGCCGTCATTTTTGCACTGCAGGCACGATAGAAACAATTATAATAGTATCACTGACTTGTTTCCATTGTTTTGATCAAAGCCATGTATCCACTACACGACAACTACTGTCTTCAATTGGTGCGTGATTCGAGTCAATGTCTCAATATTGAACTTTACCATCATGGAATATTGACACGAATAATGTCATTAAATAAAGATCAATGTTCAACGTTGACGCATAGTCTTTGTGAGACGATCAATGAATTCGATGTATTGATCACTGATTTACTCGAAACATCAATGTCGAATGTTAGTGTAACAGTCGATGAAAATCTTCAAATGTCGTTTCTAGTACGTTTCGGTAGTCGAAACTATGAGAAATTATGGTTGTTTAAAATTGAATTAAAGCTCGTAACAAACGCAACAGACGAAATCTCATTCGATCCATCCGATTGGAATGATCTATGATTGCTAGGGCATAAAATTATAGACAACATGATTGACTATATGCGCGAAGTTCGCCTCCGGCCAACATGGCGTCTATTATCGTTAAGAATCAAACAAACTATTCTTAATAGTGTCCTTTCAATGCAAGGTCAATCACCGTGACAAGTTTACGATGAAGTTTGCACGACAATTCTTCCCTATATTATGTGTAACATTCATCCTCTTTTCTAGGGTCATGTCTACGGCACCGGTTCAATGATTGAAGCTCTAGCTGAATTTATAATTGGAACAATGAACACAATGTCTTGGGGTGGTCAATAGGCAAGTAACTATTTAGAGCGTAAAGTCTTGTCGTGGCTCAAACTATTGATGAGTTTTCCGAATGATGAGACAAGTTCAGGCATTCTCGTTAATGGTACATCAGTGGCTACAATCATTGATTTGGCAGCGGCCAGAAAAAAATTTCATCAACGAACTATGATCATCTACTGTTCGAAAGATGCGCATAGTTGTTTTATCCGAGCTGCCAATCTACTCGGTGTCAATAAAGAAAATATTGTTTATGTTTTGACAAATGAACAACGACAAATCGATGTGCAGGTAATTGTAATCAGAGATATTTTCCGTTCTAATTAGATAATTCTTCTTCAGACATTAGAAGCGTGTATCGATCCGAATGCATGCGGCTTTATTGTTGGTTCGGCCGGTACGGTTGGCACTGGAGCAATTGATGATTTACAAGGTTTAGCCGAGATTTGTGCACGCCGTCCGAATGATCGCTGGTTTCATGTCGATGGTGCTATTCGATGCAGTTGCCTGTTGTTCACGACACCTTCGACCATTGTTCACTGGCTTGGAACGAGCCGATTCGATCGCATTCGATCTGCATAAATGGCTTTTTGTTCCATACCGAATATGGATGTATGCTTGTGCGCGATGTCAATTACATCGTTCGACATTTGCTCAACCTAAAGTATCCTATCTGACATTGATGGACGGCGGTATAACACCGAGTGAAGGCGAGCATTTTTGCAGTGATTATGGTCTTGAACTTTTACGGAATACGAAAGGTTTAAAAGTTTGGATGACATTGAAAACATACGGGATCGAGCGATGGGGTCGTATTATGGAACAAAATGTTGATCAAGCATTTTATTTTTCTCATTTAATCGAACAACACTCAAATGAATTCGAATTATTGGCCAAAGTAACATTAAATATTGTTTGTTTTCGTTATATTGCATGTCAGTCAAATATAATTGATCAACACGACATGTTAAACAAATTTAATAAACGTTTATTAATAATGATACAAGAACGACGCATTGCCATTGTTTCACCATTTGTCATTGATACGAATACATTTGCTTTGAGAATGTACATTACGAATCATCGAACAAGACTCACAGATATGGACAAATTCATCGAACAAGTGATTAAACTCGCTCGTGAACTAATCAATACGAATGAATTTGCCATTCTGAAGACGATTTGATCTGTGTGAATGATTCAATTGGTTTTAGTATAATTTGAATCTTGCTAAGAATCGATTAGAGCAAGAGAAGAGAACCGAATTTGAAAAAATCAATCGCTTGTCATGCTTTGTGAGACTGTGATGATTCGATTGAAATTGATTTGAATTGAAAACTTAGATTCTGAATAAAATTGGACTACTCTACTTCTGCCTTAATGAATTCAAAGATTTTAGCTGATCATATTTACGATAGTAGTTTAGCAGATCATTTACGATAAAGATAAATCGGCTGTGATTTTTTGTGACTAATCAGATCTGTCGTTCCAGATGTTGGAAAATAACGAAATTGATCGGTTCCACTCAGTTCCGAGGATTTCCTTGCCATTGGATTCCAGCAGTGTCAAACCTGAAAGTTGAATTCAATTATTGAAAATCTATTTCAACTATTCAATTATTCAATTATTGAATAGTTGAACTTCAATTATTCATTTTTCGCCGTGTTCCCCCCCCCCCCCCCACCCCCTCCTCCTCCCCCACCCCTGC